AACACGCCGTCCGTTGAAAGTTAAGAAAAGCTATTTCATACACGTCACTAAAACAATAGTAGCAACTTACAATATAAAGAGGAATATTTTTCATGATTTAGTAAGCAAGATAATAGCAGTTTGACAACTAACCCCGTGTCGCAACTAGCTCCGGTCTGCTTTCGTCGCTACACGTGACAAGTGTATTTAAACTTTTACCAAAACTAATGTTGATCGGAAAAAAACTGTTGAACATGGTCGCCGTTCGAGCAGGCACCGGACTGCAAAAATTGAATGAAGCGCGCAACAGCACCGACTTACTGAAGCGCCAGTATACAAAGAACGCTTTGTGTCGCTGTGAAGCCGCTTGCGCAATGCAAAAAAATACCAAAAGCGCTAAAAATACTATCCATTGGCTTTATAAGGTTCAAAATTATAAATAACGGTAACCACANCGGACTTTAACATTTAAAAATACACATGTATAAATGCAGATCAGAGAACAGAATAAACAATAACAATAAACTTTTTGACGAGTGGGAATTTTGTGTCTCTTGCTTATCGCTATCGCTATTCTTTCGTATTGTAAAATCTTCACAAATAAGAATCAGACATAACGCGATCTAAATCGTAGAAAAAGCATCAGACCGATAAGTGTTTCTTTACGTTCTTTACTTCTGGAAAAGCGTTTTTTATTTGATACAGTAAATAATGAGATTAGTTACTTCTACTAAAATGACATATCACGTCGGTATAACAGGACGATTCGACATCCTCTTACCAACAATACTTCACGCAGTGGTATGTAAACCATCACAAATAATATTCTATGATATAAATCCCAATAAACGATTACTGCAACACGTATTCTTATAATTGTTTAACAAATGTATACTTGTAAAAAATAAAAAGCACACTGCATGTTGCCGTTTTAAATTACCAGTTATATTACCAATTGAAATAGATAATACTAATAGCGATTTCGGTTGGTTTGCACCGACTGCACATTTCGAGTGTCGGTGTAACTTGTGTGTTCGGCTGGTCGAATGGTGCAGTTCCTTGCTGGTGCCGCGTATTCGTCTGAGCTCAGTACATCGCATAGATGCATATTGAGTGTACACAAACTGGCTCTCACAAATTAGTTGGAGCCAGTTGGTGTGTTCGGCTGATATACACTACTGTGGTCGAAATATCCAGTGCAACATCACATGAGTGTACGCACTGCACACACTTGCACCAACTCTAAACAGGTAGCACACCGGTGCAGACCAGCCGAAATCGCTATAAATATGTGTGGCGCGACAAACTATCGATCGTAGATAATCACGATATTTATTATCGTTAGTCTTTTATTTCTATAGTCATCATTCAAACTTATTATATATTAAACAATAGTAAAAACAATGAAATATGTTTCTAAATTGTTTGCGACAGAAGGTCCGGTTTTTACAATTTCGCGTTTAGTAAAACTCAACACACTACCAAGTCTACTGAATTTAATATTCATACAATTTAATAATCCATTCAGTAAAACAAACTAACGAGACTTTTATATAGTATTCTGTAGGTATTTCGGTGTCTCTAATTTAACAAACGTAATTCTTAAAGTTTGACGAGAATATATACAAAACCAGAACAGTGTGCCTAATAACATANATGTTTAGAAAAGTATTGTCAAACTGTGTNATAATATTGTACCTACTCTGATAGGAAACCATTTACAAACTTATGTGACGAAATCTTGCACTAAAATTGTAATTTGCAATTATACAGACATATTTTAGGAAATAGATGCAAAAACATTGATTTTTTCTGAAATATTTGTAGATGTTTACAAAATTACTTTCCAAATACTATTTCGGCAAAAGAATAACGATATGGCAAATCATCTTAGCAGTATATTTGCAAAATTAATTTCACAAAGAAATTGTCAACTAATTGAGAAAAGAAATTCAGCAATGTGATGTTTAAAATATGTAGAAATATGAATGCGTATGAAGAAATGCAAGAAATAGTCGTCACTCATAATGTCATATTTGTGCAATATTTTCACAATTTGCTTATTGGGGATATATACTGTGAAAATGTATAACGACTTTTTTGCAATTTTTGACAAATATTACTTACAAAATTTTATTTCGACAAAACTGTTGCGTTATGGCGAATCATCTTAGTGCAATTATTGCAAAATCGTCGCCATTCATGATGTCATTTTTGTGCAATATTTTCACAAATGTGCCTATTAGGGTACATACGTAAATACTTTAAAACAGGTGCCACAGCACATGTATTACTTCTTTTGTCTACTTTTTTGTTCATCGTAAAGTTATAAATATCTCTCATGTATAAGCTTCAAATAAAAAAAAAAGTGCAGTAATTTTTCATTACACCAAAAATACTGTAAGTAGGAAAAATAGGAATCTATAAAGTTAGGCCTGGTTTATGCGAGCAATAACTGTTAACTTATGTTGGAACCGGTAGAGTTTAACTATAGGATTCGCATTCGGCAATTTCGTATAAACAGAAGTATTAAAATCATATAGTTAAACTTTACCGGTTCCGGCATACGTTAACAGTTATTGCTCGCATAAACCAGGCCTTACACTTGGCAAACATATTCACAGTATGACGTAAGTAGTGTGTCAATCAAAGATAAACAAAGATAATAAAACTGACAGGTAAAATAGCATAGGCTCGAATAAGAAGCTGTGAAGATAACAGTTAAAATTCAAAACAATGTTTATGTGTCTGACTTACGGCATTGTGTTCAGCTATACGACAAATAAGATAAACGTGTGTTACATCTCTCGACAACATTTAAAAACTTTAAGTTCTTCACAATCGCCGTTAGTAGTACTAAACGTAAGCATATCGCAACCGAAATAATATTGGAAGTTTCAATTGAAAATTTGTCTTTTTCTCTTTTTCTCAGTATTAGCTGTTTTTCATATAAGATTACAAAATATAAACAACAATGAACCAGGACAAACCTTCGACTTCTTTCGAAGGCAAACCTAGAAAAAGATCTCACAGTAAGGTAGACCTTGAAGTAGAAAGTGATAAAACAAAACAGCACGACCACGATGTGCCGATACAAGACAAAAAGACAAAAGAACAACAAACACCAAAATATATTCTTGACTTCCCAGATGAAGTTCTTTTATGTATATTTAAAAATGTAGACCCAACCGATTTAAATAATCTCAGATTGTAAGTTTTTTTATTTATGTGAAGCGAGTGATAGATAAATATCCGAAACAATACGTAGATAGCGACAGTAGTACGACATTGCTGTAGTTGACAAACTGTATCTTTCAGGCTTACTAGTATACGTACTGCTTGGGTGACAGTTCGCCAAACTATATATAATCATTTGAAATAATATCAATCGCTTCTTGTTAAAATAATACACTTATATATGTTTCAAAATAAGTTTTGTTGAAATTTATTTATTATAGATGTTGCACAAGATTTGCAAGACTAGCGGCAGATAAACTTTTATGGAGTTTGGACTATCGCAAAACTCCTATACTTCCTTCTCAAATGAAGCCGTATGAAACTTTCCTAAAACCATTAACATACAGCTTAGCAATACGTGGAGATTTCAAACATGGCAGTGAAAATATTCTTTCACCTTCTTTTTTTATTAAACTACGACAAATATGCAGANTACTTAGCAAATTGATTATTGAAGAGTATTATATTCCTACAACTATGGTATATATTACTTTTTATTAAAATATTTTTAGTATATAAGTATATTATTAATGGTAAAATAAAATGCATTAGTTGTTCGCAACGATGCTCGCACTCACTCGCCCTCGATGTGATCTTGTAGTAAGTAATATCTGTATACAAAGTGTTTAGCGAAATCTCAATTTCTTAGCAAAAGAAATTAAACAAATTGTACACTAAAAAGATTTTGTACGATGCACTTCCACAGTCTTTAAAATACGGACTACCACGCACACAAACTANTATGACTTACGTAATTACAGTTTGTTCCGTTTACTTATATATAGAATAATAATAATAATAGTATCGTGTAATATATCATTACATATGTCTGTAAAAATTATAGTTATCGAAGCATATGTGACATTTTTATAATAGTATTATGGAGGTCACACTTTATGTGTATAGCATATTATACATCTAGTAAAACTTCTTTTCCATAGTTTTGTTACAAATCCATGGCAATTTATTAAAATTGGTTTAGGATTCGCCAGAGACGTCAACAACTCTTGAGACCCTTGAATTCAAAAATTGTGTAGCAGATGTTAAGTTAACTGGTGTCACATTTTTTGCGCCCACTTTTTTTCCTGGAGTATGTAGGTTCGTACCCTACGTAAAAGTAAGTTGTTGTTCTACACATATTTTACATATCTCTATATATTTAGTGTATTCTATCATATATATACACACACATATTGTGTTTAACAATACAATACTGTATTCCAAATATAAATTTTAGTACTTGATATTTAACAATGTTCTGTGGGATCAGCAATCGACATTTTTGACAAGTATATGTATACTTACAGAACTTCAGAAACTTGAAGTAATTTCATGTTTTCGTATAAAGTACTATTATCCAGACATAGATTTATTTATCAATATCCCTTGTAACTGCCAAAAGCTAGAGGTATTTGTTATTTTAGGAAAGTACTAGTTCTGCATTTCATCTATTTTTACTGTAGAAATCACCCTTTTCTAGAAACGTGTTTTTTTAAATTGTTTTATAGATTCTAAACTTTCGAAACTCAGTAGTAGAGGATGAGATAATTGAATGGTTTTGTCAAGTTGAATCTTTAAAAGAACTGTATCTAGAATGTCCTAAATTTTTTAGGGACAAATTGTCAAATGAATCATTAGAAGTGTTACAAAACTTTTATTACGATAATTACATTTCTTTGNGTCTGTTTGATNAGGAACTTCATANCTTTTTATGTACAACTAAAGTATGTCTCTCAATTTGTTCGTGTTCTTTATTTTTGCCTTTNAAACATACATGCTTGCATGTATTATACANNAGTANNTTAANAAATATTATCAATTTCTTGTTGCGCATTAGATGATAATAGACTTTCTTTTGCTTTAGCGTCTTNTTGCCGAAAACAAAGTTAAAGAAATAATCACTTGCAGAAACAATTCGTTTTTAAACTATTTGTTGTCAAATATTAGTTGCTATATAAATAGATTTACAAATTTGAAGATATTACATATAAGGTAACTCGTAAGCCTAAAAACCGAAAACCAAAAATATTTTAAATACTGATGCTTTTATTTTTTTTCAGACATTATTCGCAAGTTACAAGACCAGTTATCGATATTATGGCGTCGACATTACCAAACTTAATAGAGTTGGATATAACTGGATGTTCTGTAACTCTGGAGGATGTTAAACACTTTAAATCACAAAGACTTAATGTTAAAACTTATTCATCATTTAGTTCACAACATACACGATATATGCCTAAGAGTAAATGAGTATTCAGACGACGTTAATGTNATATAGATTATAAAAGAAATGAGTTAGAAACGAAAATCGTTTCCTATCCCGATAAAAAGTAATACTTGATAGTGCAATTATCTGAGTAATTATAATGAAACTGTAATTANCNTACCTGAAAAAAGTAATTAANCAAGAATATCACATTTACGTGTAATTGTAATAATTGTAACTGCAATTATAATTATTACAAAACCTTGTAACATCTTAAGTTATTTTAATATGAGAACTTGTAAACTTATGATATTAAAATGTAAGAAAACCGAAAAATATAATTAATTTATTCAAATAGTCAGTAACCATCACACAATCGCGCAATGTAATCNTCCATTTAAAGAATGCATTTCAACTATCGCGGTGCTGCGTGTCGTCGCGACANGCGACGAGTGTATCCAGACTCTTACCAGAAATAAGTAATGTTGATCGGCAAAGTAATGTTGAACATGGCCGCCATTCGGGCAGGCANCGAACTGCGAAAATTGAATGAAGTACGCAAAAGCACCGACTTACTGAANCGCCAGTACACAAAAAACGCCCTGTGTCGTTGTTAAGTTTTTTACCCAATGCAAAAACGTAGCAATTGCAATAAAAATAACATCGGTTTTATAAGGTTCGCATTTATAAATAACGGTAAGAACAGCGGTATCTAACATTCAAAAATACACATGTATCATTGTAGATCAGAAAACGGAATAGACAATAGCAATAAAAATTTCGACGATTTGAAATTCTGTGTCTATTGCATATTGCTATCGCTATTCTTTTGCATTGTGCAAAAACTTTTCTAAATAAGAATCAGACAGAACGCGGTCTAAATTGTAGAACTGGAGTAGGAAAGAGTACCCAGACGGCACATGATATCATTTGATTGTAGAATGATATCGTTTCTACGTCATTTTCGTGATATCATGTGATATCACATCCCTGAAATATCACACAGATATTCTTCTAAGAATATTAGTACTGTTTTCTTTCAAGTATATCTCAAAGACATCGCTTAATGTATAGGAAATTTGAATGAAGTGTATTACACTTTCGTGATACTCTTATGATGTTTTTGAAATATTTATTGATGATATCACAAATCTTCGCACAATATATTTTGCGCGAGATATGAAAATCAATTCTCAAGTTGCAATGTATACATTGCACTGCAATATTTTTTTTAAATAACAATTAAAATAAATAATAAACAAAATGTGTACAATAGCTCAAGAATAAGTAGATAAAAACAATTATAATTTAGTAAGAAGCAAGTAGTCTCGCGGACTGAGTGCAGGGGCTGCGGATATAGGCTTTGCGGAGATCTCGAGTTCAAATCTCATTAATCACCTTAGGATTTTTCAAGTCCGGTCCCTTTCAATGGAGTTCATCGGTTGATCGGCAAGCTGTATCCTTCAAAAACTAATTCGAGTGAAATCTCGAAATTCCCTTCATTTTTAAAACTTTTGCAAGAGATATCATTTGCATGTTTTTGATGTGGACATTAGCAGTCTCAGGCATATCACTGAGATATTATTTGAACATCATTACTCGTTCGAAAATGTCTCAACGAGATATCTTTTGCACATTCAAAGTCTCTGTGAGATATCTTCAAGACATCTTAAATACATCATTGTGCCGTCTGGGTATCCTACGACACTTTCTCGAACGGAAATATAATTAAAAAATCTTTGAATGGCGTATGAACTAGCTTAAGAAATTCACAGAGCCATAAAAGCACTAAACCAAAAGTAACCAATTAAGGAATCTAAATAATTATTAGTAAGCGGAGCTACCGAAATAATTACTATTAGTCTATATTTCTATAGTTAATGCGCCAAACCATATCTCTCGAAAGTTAGAAAAATTTTACTAGATTTAGTAAGACGAATACTTAGCGTAGAATACTTTTCGTGAGAAGCGTATAAAGAATTGGCACACTTGCAAAGTCAGTATAACGTAACTAGTGTGTTTATTCAATCAGAATAAACAAAAATAATAAAACTGGCAGTTAAAATAGCACACTATAGCACACTCGAATAAGAAGTTTCTGTGAGTTTCGGGGATAACAGATAACAGTTCAAAAGAAAGTTCACGTCCCGGACTTGAATCAATGTGGTTAGTTCGTTTGAACAAAAATATATACGTATGTTACGTGTCTCGAAGTCGATTATGATCTTCACGTCTTGTTACACGTAGTGCGACAATCACCGTTATATTAATTGTATTAAACGTAAGCATATCACAAACACAATTATTTAGAGTCGTGAAATGTAAATGTGCTTTTTTTACTACTTTCTAATTTGTAATTGATTTTCAGATAGGTACAAATAAAAGTAAAAATAAATCCAGACTATATTCTAAATCTTCTTTTTTTTTTTAAGTAGAACCTAGAAAGAGTACCAGCAGTAATACAGAAATCGAAATAAAGGGTGATAGAAAACAAAAGCAACCAGTAGCAAACAAGAAATCTTTTTGAACTACCAACTGAAATTCTCCTTCATATAATAGAATGTGTAGATAGAAAAGATTTAAAGAATATCAGATTGTGAGTTTTTTTTATTTGTGTTATTTTTTTCACGTGAGATGATTGAGAAATATTCAAAACAATACATAGAGAGCTATAGTATACTGAGTGTACATCGAGAAAGTAAATGGATGATAACTTGTTCGTCTTGCGCATATTCCATGCGACCAGAAATCTTCTCCACTCCACAACCATTGGTTGTTAGCGGGTGTTTTGCCGTCTCTACTTTGACCACTTTTCTTTTTATATGCGTAGTAATAGGATTCTCTTCTCGATTTAAACTTCGATTAATAAAACATTGATGTTGTTGCTAAGTTTTATTCTCCAGAATTACAAATATCAAACATAGGTTTTTTTTTATCGCACAACAGTGTGACAGCTTGTCAAAATACAGTCGTTTGAAATACTTATTACTCCCCTATTGTATATATTTTATATTTCGTAATATAAAATTTGTTTTAAGATTTTTGTTTTGTCATAGATGTCAGAGATTATCAAGACTAGTATTAGATAAAACGCTCTGGATTATGGACTATCGNAAAAAGTCGTATTTGCTCGAATTTTATCCGTTTGTACAGTGANCACATATTAGAACGGGTAACAGTTTGCTTAGCAGTATGGGGTATTTTCTATTGTAGAAATCGNATCGTAGATATCGTTACACTATTATTTTATAAAAATTTTATCGAACTTTTGCTATCTTCTATCCTACAACAATGCCGGATGCTTAAGAAATTCCTTAATGGAAAATATTTTAATACAAATGAGGTGAATTTTTTTGGCTATAAAATTATTTATTTTAATAGAGATGCTCTTTACGAGTGTTGGTATATCAAAACATTATATGACTGAATTTAAAAAAAAATAATTGATTTGTTGGCACTTCAATTGCCTGTATTTTTATTAAATGTTTCTGCTTTTATTTCTTTTTGACAGTATTCACATGGTACTAAACCGGATATCAATATTCTGGCTTTGACGGTTCCAACCTTGAAGGAGTTAGATATAACCATATATGTGTGTAATACCAGAGAGAAATTTGAGAGCGGCTATCCTATTGTAATTTTTTACGACGGTTTCAGCCGCTGGGTTTAGCCGTATTTCTACAAAAGTGGAACTCAAAGGCCGTTCTACATTAAACGCAAGTCGCAGATCTCGTGGAATTGACCAATTGCAGAGTCAAATCAGCCAATCGACTAACGTGACTGATCAGTTCCACGAGACCTGCTACTTGCGTTTAATGTAGAACGGCCTTTGAGTTCCACTTTTGTGGAAATACGGCTAAACCCAGCGGCTGAAACCGTCGTAAGAAACTACTATGGCATGGCCGCTCTCAGGCTTCTCTCTGGTAATACTCCTATATGGCTAGTTGAGCAAGTTTTCCATAAGCGGGACTTGGCTCAACACTAAAGGATAGAAGAGAAACGCTTATTGGTTCTATAAGAAAGAGTAGGAGGAATGTTCAATAATCGTTAATGCGCAAACGTGGCGGGAAAATTTAAACAGATTTATCAAAGAAATTTACTAGTTGATAATTAATAAGAAAAAGATATATAGAAAGTGTCTATATATATGTATAATGGTTTTAATTACAAAATTATACTTAAAATTTTATTAGATAAATATGTTCAAGGCATGATGTAAGAAAAAAAATTAATAGAGGATTATAACACAGCTTATAATATACAAGTGACACCAAATAGTTTACAAAAACAAAATGTATTTATTTTATAAACAAAGTTATTGATTGTTATACAAAATTAATTTAGTATATTTACTTCGCAAAAATTCACTCTTTTGTGACATTTCTTTTGTCTCTGAAAACAATCGAATATTTAAATATACTGTAATAATAGATTTATATATACACAGTTGTGTTCAATGATTATCTAAAATATCTTGTGTCATAATATGATCACGTATATCGTCGTTATCGAAAGAAATTCCTATTTTTGAAAATATCAGTAAATAAAATTTGTTTAATATTTCTAATATTCAAGCAATGTAAATTTTGCCGAATAATCTTCTCAGCTGTTTGACAAATTGAACAAACGTCTGAAGCTGGTATTAAATAAGGTCCCCTATTCTTAATAGCTGAGAGCAATGGCATACTAGTGCCTACCAATTTTGATTTACTAAACGAACAATCTATTCTATTGTAAACTTTTTTACATACATAGCCTGCTATATACAACACGACATTTTCAACGTACGGAGATAAATTCCAAAATGTTTTAACATAATCGTAAGCAAAATCAACATTTATGTCATTTAAAGAAATGGTATCAACAATTGGAGATATACTTGTAAGCAAAACATAAATCATTTTCAATCATTACAATTAAAGATATCTTAACAAATACGTATACGTATGCGTATACGTATACGTATAGGTATGTTACTGCAATATAAATGACATACAATACATTAATATTTATACTTTTTGAGACATTTTCCAGAACATTACGCAAAGACGAATTATCTTGCAGCGGACTGACAACTNCCGCTGTCTCACTTTTGATACCCGAGAGTGACACATTACTTTCTGGTGCTATATTTTCATCACAATTGTTTTGAATTTCTGATTGCAATTCAGAAATGTGTGAGGTTTCTACGTGTTCT